TGCAGTAAAAATTTTGAATTGAAATTGCACGACCAGTCAAAATGACTGGTTTGGTAAATCTAGTGTTAATATCGTCTAACAATAAGTTTCTGTATCTCTCTCTTTTTCTTCTTCCTTTTTTCCTTTTCTTTCCTCTCTCCTTCTCCTTTTTCTTCTTTTCTCTTTCTCTCTTTCATTCTTTCTTCCTTCTCTCTCTCTCTCTTTTTCTTTCTATTACTCTCTTTTACTAATAAAAAAACTTAACAAAAACCATATTCTATAAAAGTTATATTTTACTATTTATTATATCATAATTGTACAGTATTGATACCTGTGAACAAGAGGCGAGTCCGACGAGAAAATACAGAGTGAATAAGCACGCCACAAAAATCTCGCGATTATTACCAATTACTGGAAACTCGTCACTGAGTGCTGTTATAATTGCCTCCGAACCTCCGAACTATACATAAAGTCATATTAATTCTTATATTAACTATTTGCTGTGTGCGCATTTAAGTGAAGGAGTATTGTCATCACTCAAAGATATTGAAAAAATAAATGTCTTCTGCATGTTATTGTATTATATTATAATATAAAAACTAAGTTTTTTATTATTATCAATTCTTTTATACTTTAAATAATATCTAATTGTTTATTTTGAAACGAATAAAAATCATACCGAGCTATCTAAACCGAGTGTGAGTAACATCATGAAGAAGATTAATGCCCAAAACATTGAACCGGGCATAGTAGCAATCGCTGCTGGATAGACGATAAAAACCAAACCAGGTCCTTCCGTAGCTACATCTTGAATGGATTTCCCACTGGCACGTGCCATATAACCAAGTACCGAGAATATAACAAATCCGGCGATGAAAGACGTTGCACTGTTAATTAAGCTCGTCAATAAAGCGTCTCTGCAAAGAAATTATTAATATTAAATGTTCATCATTATATATTATAGAAGATTGTGTTTTTTTTTATAAGATGCATTTACTTGTAAACATTATTGTGATATTTGTTGTAACTCGCATAAGCTAGCAATACTCCAAATCCTGGTCCGAGAGAAAAAAATACTTGTGTCGCGGCATCCACCCATACCTACAAAAAAAATAAAAAGAATACTTAAAAATTTATTTTCCTTAATTTTTATAAAATTTGTATTATATAAATGTGTGTATGTGAATATAAAAAAAGAAAATTGAGTAGAAGATACATCTCAGAAAAAAAATCGTATCTCATACATTATTTAGAAAAAATAATTTAAAATGCAAACAAAAGAACTTTAGTGTTTGCTGTATAATCGTCGAATGTGAGAACTCTTTTAAAAAGTTAAAAAAATTAAAAAGTAAAAATTTTTGAAACAGAAAAAAAAGAAGATCTCTCTTTCTCTCTCTCCCTCTCTCTCTCTCTTATTTTATGTATTTTTCACAGATTACAGCTTCTCGTATTTTTTAAGATTAGTGGTGATCAACAAATCCACTTTCTCACTGATTTATAAGGCCTACTTTAGCGACGATAGTAAGCGGCTAAGCCGTCGTACGACGCAAAATGCATTCAGCACGCGAAGTACGAGGGTTGGCACATTTTAACATTTCTAGAGCGTGGTCGACCAAACTCTAATGTTCATTATGACAGCTACACAGAGTTTCCATTTTCACCGTCATCAGTTACCTTCGCACGTTTTTCCCTCTCTATTTTTTCCTTACTATGGTCACATCATGCCTCCCTTCCTTTTCCTGCTACTTCCGCCATACTGTAAACGCATTAACGCCCAAACTTTTTTTTTTGTTATTACCACGTATATATCATGACTTATAGAGAGTAATCTAGGTCAATAATAATAAAAAAACACAACTTGATAATAGTTTCATCAATTAAAAAAAAAAAAAATCTTAGTACTTTTGTGTTGCAAACAAAATATTTTCCAATATTTTGTCTTAGAAAAATACTGTAAAAATATGTCAATAAATATGTCAAATTTCTTTACAATATATTGACACAAGTCTCACTATATTATGGAGTTTATATTGATATTTTGTATTGATATTCTCACATAAAATGTTTAATTTTGTATGATTAAATATAAACTATAATTTATTATTATCTCTTCAAATTCTGCTTTGTAAATTATATGTGATTCTGATAAAAAGGTCAGCACGTTTTTCCCAATAATGATTAAAGACAAAGAAAGACATTGAAAATTGTAGGACTTTATAAGAGAAACATACTATGATAATTTTGAATAATTTTAAACATTGTTTTTTACAAAACCAATCAAAACTTTTTTTTAAATAGAAAAACATACTTTTGAGTCACTCTGTCGATAGTACTCAATGAATTTTGTATTAAAGTAATCTTTGAAAACTCAACCGTTATCAAAATCTAATAAAAATTAGTCAAAATATAAAATATACAAATCTTTTTACTATTACAAAAAGTTTAAAATGTTTACTATGTTATTCCAGACATGCCTGTAATTTTCATAGAAAGTTTGGATTTCTTTTAACTCTTGAACGGTTATTTCGAAAAAAACAGTTTTTATTCTCTCTATCATGCTTTCTCAAATAGTAGAACATTGAAAATAAGCTAGTTTTTTTACTTTTCTCTTTTCAAGCAAACTTTTTACAAAAGTTACAAGCATATATCATGTCTGGAATAACATAGTAAAAATTTGGAGCATTTATTATACAGTAAAAGTTAAAAGATTTGTTTTATATTTTTTATTTTGATTAATTTTGTTTATAAACTAAGCTTAATAACTTTTATATTAAAATATTTTTCTAAAACTTAACCATCCAGGTTAATAAAAGTTATTGAGGTCATTGAATACTATCGACAGAATAACAAAACCAGTACTTTTTCTTATTAAAAAAAAATATTTGATATAGTGAAAAAAATATTTATGGTCATTCAAGGTCACTATAATATGTATAACATCTCCTTTAATGTCCTATAATTTTGATAATAGATGCTTCCTTTATCTCTAACCGTTTTTGAGAAAAACATGTTGACTTTTTTATCAGACTGTATATAAATAATTTAAAATTTTAGAATTAATTACAATTTTAATGATCTCACTTTTGTATACTAATTTATCACACTTATAATATAATTTTTATTAAAAAATATTCTTTTAATATATAAATTAACATATACATATAACATATAAACGGAATATATAATATATAAAATTATTTTGTTAAACTGTGTTAAATACTTGTATTAAGTTCTTCAAATATTGCATATACATATCAGAAACATATGCAAACCCAACATGACACATACCTCTGCTTTGGTGATAGCAGTAAAATTTGGACTGAGATAATAACGGATTCCTTCGGTACTACCCGGCAAAGTGACACCTCGTATTAGCAGAATCAACAAGACTGCGTAAGGAAAAAGAGCAGTAAACCAGACTACCTGCAGTAAATAATCATTCACTTAGCTTCTAATGTACTTATAATACAAATATACGTATAAATGTACGTATAAATACAAAGAGACAACATACATATATACAGGGTGTCCCGTAATTGCCGTCTCACCGCTTACAGGCATGTAGAAGAGATTATTCTAAGACGAAAAGTCCTATATCACTTTGGAAGATTCGCAATAATTAATGAGATATGAATTAATAAAGATCTGCTAATCAGCGTGCATCCAGCGTAAGAACAGCCCAGTCTGTCGCGCCGTAGCGACGGAATACAATAGCGCGAATAGTGCGCTGCCCGAACGCAGCTTATATGCTGTCTATGTATGCACATGTTGTTGTATTAACTTCTCCCATTCCGTCACTACAGCGCGATAGACTTATTTTTAGCTGTTCTTACGCTGGATGCACGCTGATTAGAGGATCTTTATTAATTAATATTTCGTTAATTATTGCGAATCTTACAAAGTGGTATAGAATATTTCGTCTTAGAATAACTGCTTTTATCTGCCTACAAGCGGTGAGACGGCAATTACAGGACACCCTTTATATTGTGTTATATTTTTTATGGAAAGGGAACTTAAACTTCTACTTCTAAGCTGCAATTTTTCGGATTTTGACAGTAACATATATATGTGTAAATATATAACATATATGTCTATAATTTAATATATTTATTCAAAATATATTAAAAAAATATATTTATTAAAATATATTTATTAAATATATTTATTCACACACAAAATATATTTTTAATTCTTTATTTTAAGTATTAAGCCAAAGATGTTAGAAAACATGGTTGTTTTTAAACCTTTGTGTGTTGAGATCTTGTATGAAAATATATATTTCTAATATAATATATATATTTCTTTTTAACTTACCTTGCCAGAAGTCGAGATGCCTTTCCATAGAGAAAAATAGCATATCAAATAAACCACGAGTAAGCATAGAGCAATGTCCCACTTAATAGTTCCGAGATCATGTAAGCCTTTGCTTTCGTGCAGTTCCAAGATAGCACGGCTTAAAGAAAAAGGTTTGCAACACATGAAATTGCAAAGAATTATGTATCATACTATATTAAAATATATGTATAGTAATGTGTGTTTGTTACTATTAAAATATTTAATAAATATAAATTTAATATATGTATATAAATTTAATATATGTATATATTAAATTTATATTTATTAATATATACATATATACATATATGTATAATGTAAAAAAATTTGTCACATTTACTAAATTTATGAAATATCTTTGTAGATAAAAACAAAGTGTAACAAATAACTCACTTAAAATATTCATGTGCAGCGCTCGTATACGACGTATAATTATCCGCTGAATTCAGAGTGAGCTCCACATTTGATTCTTGATCGACAAGAAATCGAGTGATGTTTCCAAATTTCTCGCTTATTTCATTATTAATCATATCTTCGAATGCGTATGAAATGTTCGCATCAAATTCGCGACACAGCGGCGTATTCCAAGGATTATCGCAGGTTGTCCATGGCAATAAAGTAGAGAATGAGGCAAAGAAATAACGAAGTGACCAGGCGATGATAACATTATAGTAGAAATCGACGTAAAATGCAATCAGAACGACTGCATATCCGATACCTGATTTAAAAATGATTTATGTTTGGTTTTTATAATTACGTCCCAAACCGCACCATCGCACTAAAAATAAGCACGATAACAAAAAACCTTTAGTTTCTTTGTACTTTTCTAAAAGTCGTATCTATAATTCCTGTACCATTTTATTATTGGCTTACTTTTCTATTTAACAGTTGAATAAAAATTAATCAAAATATTTGTTCTCAAAATATATATCAGACAGAAACATCAATCATCAATCATCATTGGTATATTATTTTCATAATCAATATCTTATCGCATCAAATTCATAAAATCCTTATTGTTAATAATTTTGCAATTTTAACGTACTTAATTATTTTAATTTTTCTTAATAAAAAGATTCTAATAAAAAGATTTAATTTTTTTCTAATAAAAAGAAGATAAAAAGATTTTCTAATAAAAAAGAAAACACTTAAAATCTATGTATGGCATTATTATATATATTATATTATTATTTTTTTGTTATTTTTAAATACGTATGTAATATATTATAAAGTCATTAAGATCTTTATTAAAGATAATTTCTCGTAAATATGACAATTATTTATGATAAATCGGTTCCAACAACATCGTGCAAGAGCTGGATCATCAAAGTAATTACTTCAACAATCACGTAGGCACGGTTATATTAAGATCTGTACGCAGAAATGTCAGAATAGCAGTGTCCTTGTAACATCTCACATTTTAAGTATGCACGTTTCTCTGCTACACAGAATAAATACAAAATCGCGACCTTCCTTTCATATGAGATTGAACTACGCATGTGAAGTACTTGTATACTTTGCGGCGCAGAATCACAGCAGCAAAGCATCTTTCGCGATCGATCACCGTACGCGGCGATCAACGACTAAGCGGGACAAAATTGTAGCCGTGGAAGTTGAAAATCGGCGGAAATGGAGGCTTTTTACGCAGAAAGACATCACTTCCTCCTGCGCAGTTCTTTAAAATTTTTACAAGTAATAAAATCAGTGAAAAGAAAGAGAGAGAGAGAAAGAGAAAGAGAGAAAGAAAGAGAGAGAGAGAGAGAGAGAGAGAGAGAGAGAGAGAGAGAGAGAGATTGAACGATTGTTTCTTCCGTTTTACCGTTCCGTTGTACCGTCAAAGACTGGAAGAAAATGTATAATTCGTCTCGAATAGAAACAAAAGTCCAACCGTTTTGAAATACCAATGTCTTTTTTAACTTCGTGACTAAGAGAAGAGAGAATGAGCGAAAAAAAGAGAGAAAGAGAATGTGGAGAATATAATGAGAGTAAAGAGGGCAGTTCCGGCTTTTAAATCTTTCAGGCCTTTCCGGACGGTGGATTTTCGCGGATTTTTACGCGAAACGTAATATATTTAGCTATAGTAGTCTTCATTGTCGAGGATGTATATTTCACAAATTCACCACGCACGAGCAGACGCAGTAAAGAAATATGTTAGTGGTCAAATTTTGGGTTGGCTCTGTAACCTAAACTATTGATGAGGCATTATTGTTTAGATCCCAAAAATGCGTAAATTTATTATTATTTATTCCAAATAAGATGATAACGTTATTAAAAAAAGCAATTGAAAATTGCATGTTTAACAAAACTGCTATAACTTTTGAACCAATTGATATTTTTCAAACAAATTTTGAAAAAAGTGAGAGATTACTATTTTGCATAAGAATTTGTATTTTTTAATATTTAATTATCAGTGGTTCTCAATTTTTTATTTATAAATAAAGTTTTTTATTTATTAAAAACACATAGATCTTATCGTAGTGCTCTAAGATAAACATAGTTCCAGTGTCGGCGATAAAGTGTAGAACTGTTTTTTATAAAAAAAAAAATATATTAGTTTAATATAACTCATATATTAGTTTAAAAACTATAGAACCTGAAAGTGATCTCTATTAATCACTATAAATTTACACGCTGGAGGAAGAAGCGGTATTAAAAAGTATCAGACCATCTTGATAGATGTACTAAGTATTGCGAGACAAGCTCCAAGTATCTCGGTGGCCTAACAGGGAAGGCGACGGCCCGAAAGCTGGAGATTCCAGGTTCGACTTCTGGCTAAGGAGTTTTTTTGCAATATTTTAAAAATTAGTCAGGGAGGTATTCGGGATCCTTCATATAAGAGATGCAAAATTAGCATCTTATATGATTTAAAGAATTGTAATTTCAATTTAAAAAACTCACATAAAAAATATTACACGTGAATACATATATGCAGGATGTCCCAGAATTGGTGTAGCATCTCTCGTAAACAAATAGAAGGAGTAAAACTGAGTCAAAAAGTGTTATATATAATATAAAAGTTTTATTTATATTATTTTGCTAGATTTGCAATAGTTACCGAGATCTTAATTAACAAATATCAGCAAATAAGCATGTATTAGATCGTCTTACGCGCTTAAGACAGCCCAGTGCGCTTCGCGCGCTTACGGTGTTACTCATAGCAGCATTTGGGAAGAGCTAATATAACAGCATATACTATAACGTATACATATTAAAATGTAATTGTGCGAAGCGCGCCGGGCTGTCCTACGCGCGTAAGACAGGCCGATGCACGCTTATTCGCGGATCTTTGTTAATTAAAATTTCGGTAACTATTGCGAATCTAGCAAAATGATATAGGACTTATCGACTTAGTTTTACTTCTTCTATCTGTCTACGAGAGATGTTACACCAATTCTGGGACACCCTCTATATATATACATATATATATATATGCATTCATATATATACATTCTCACATTTTCCGCACAACACTCTGCGAACGGCTCTACATGACCTTATACTCATATAGTAGTTTAAAAACTATAGAACCTGAGAGGAATCTCTATTAATCACTATAAAATTATTTATAAATAAAAAATTGAGAGTCACTGACTATTGCATATTAAAAAGTACAAATTCTTTTGTAGAGAAATAATCTCTCACTTTTTTCAAAATTTCTTTGAAAAATAACACTTGGTTCAAAAGTTATGTTTTTTCAAATACGCAATATTTATTGCTCTTTTAATAATTTTCCCATCTTAGTAAATAATGGTGGATTTACACATCTTTGGAACCTAAAAAATAATGTCTCAATAGTTTAAGTTCCGGAGCTAACCCAAAATTTTGCCACTTTTTAATATCCTCTTTTAATTGCGCAAAATTGTCGCGGAAGGAGTAAGTATAAATATTAAGGTATTACCCTCGATTGTTTTCTAATTTTCAGTTTTACTTTAAACTTTTACACAATGTTTAAAAACTTGATCTATGAACCCCTGAATTTTTTCAGATTTTTTTACCGTACAGTTTTTAAGAAAATCGAAAACGAATTTCGCATGATTTAACATGGAAGTGATAGGGAGAATGAGGAAATCACATGCATTTACCTAAATATCTAGAGTTCAAATTTTCAGATTTGGCTAAAAATATTACTACAGCTTCTTTAAACTATAAAGAAAATATGTGTGAAAAATCAGACGCCTGTACCGTACAGTTTTTCAGTAATAATTAAAATAACACAGAAAACGAGCGATTTTATGATTAGTATGAGAAATAGCGACGTTGCCATTTTTTCAATTAGAGTGAGATAGAACTATCTCCGCTCCCCCGCGCCCGCAGGGACGTGAGGATAATACGTTAAGGAAGTTCATCTGGTTAGTAATTGGATAACAAATAGATGTTTAAAAAAATTTAATACAGTCCAAGATATGTATAAAAAAAAACCTCGCAAAATTTTGAGTTTTCTGGATACTTTACTTCTTTAGTGGTGAGATATTAATACAAATATTTTGTGCAATGTTACGTGGTGTTCTAAGGAGAATAACATTTTTTGAGTCTTCTTCCGCAAAATTCGTAAAGAATTAAGAGATAGAGATTTTGAAAAAATTGATGACAGTAATAAAAAAATATGTAAGGAAAGTTATGTGAGGAGTGTAGATCAATTGGGTACTTGAAAAATGAGAAATAAGTAGATACAGAGAGAAACCTGAGATCTCTATCCTATTGTAGTTTCTTACGACGGTTTCAGCCGCTGGTTTTAGCGCTATATCTTATAGAGATAGATCTTATAGATCTATAAGAGATAGAGTGCGAGAGCGGACTGAAAAAGCGATAGAGGCTTAGAAAGAGAAAGATGCATAAAGGCCTTTTCTGTTCTTATCTAATCGGTAGCCAACGCTGATAGTGCTGGGCAGACGCAGTCCCCATTTTACGTTTAGTACAAATAAATTGTTTTATAACTGTTTTCTTTAATAAATAGAAAGTTAAATAAATTGATTATAATATTTTTACAAAAGTAATAATAATGATAGATAAATAAGTGAAGAAATTCTACTACCATTGATGTCATTGCGAATGCGTCATTAGACAAGAACAGAGAGAGCCCATATCACAGATTTCTATACTACACTAGATCGCTAACTTAGGTAGTGGGGGTAGGCAAAAAGTGAAGCCGAGTTAGGATACGCCGCCATTTTTAATACAGACGCGCCAACTTCACAGATTTCTATACTGCACCAACTTTTAAATGAATTAAATTTTTATTTTTTATACCAACAAGTTAAAACAAAAGTTACAAAACATAAATATTTGTATTTACAAAGACCGGAATCATATTAAAAAATATATTTATTAGTCGCAAATGATTATTTAAAAAAAAAGTAACCATAGTGAAGATATGAGGATGTCACCTCCGGCTTAAATACAAAAATCACCGAAAACGAGTTCTTATTGGCCGTACAATTTATATTAACATCAACTTATTTTACATTTAATGACAAAATATATAAACAGACTTTCGGCACCCCGATGGGTTCTCCGTTATCACCAATTATTGCTGACATGATCTTACAAGATCTTGAACTAAAAGCACTAAATTCTTTGAAATTTAATATCCCTATTTATTTTAGATACGTTGACGATGTTGTACTGNCAATACCCAAANAACATNTAGATCTAGTTGTGAGCACTTTCAATTCGATCCATCATAGACTACAATTTACTGTTGAAATACAAGAGAATAAT